TTCCGAGATTCAGCTATAGGAATTATTTCCTCATTCTGTTGACACCTTCCAATGGCCTCTTCCAGGTGTTAAAGCAAGAATGTATTTCCCAAGCTCCTTTGCTTCTATCACCCTGTCTCTACACCCTGCATGCCCCGAGTCCTGCAAGCTCTCCCTGTCTCAAGCAACACAGGGAGGACACTCTGCGGTCAGCAGTTTTGTGCATGCCTTTCTTTCTACAGCTGAAACATGCCCCTATTCCACAAGGATGGCAACTTCTTTTTCCTAGTTGCAACCTTCTGGCATTTCACAGAATCATTAAGGTCGGAAAAGACCTTTAAGAGCATCAAGTGCAACCATCAACCCAACACCACCACGCCCACTAAACCACGTCCCGAAGTGCCACGTCCACACGTTTTTTGAACACCTCCAGTGATGGTGACTCCACCACCTCCCTGGGCAGCCTGTGCCAATGCTTGACCACTCTCTCTGTAAAGAAATTTTTCCTAATCTCCAGCCTAAACCTCCCCTGGTGCAACTTGAGGCCATTTCCTCTCGTCCTATTGCTGCTTACCTGGGAGAAGGGACCAACACCCACCAAAATGTTGGAGAATGCGGCCATTGGTCCCGCTGCCTCTCACATGCCAAGCGAGCGCTTTACCACTTGAGCTAATTCCCCTGCGTTTCTCACGTCTTAGACCAGCGAGAAGAAATGTTTTCTATGAGAAAGATGCACTTTGTTGCATTCATTGCTTCGAAACGCATGGACTTTACCACGCATTTGCTATACAGCTGACAGCTAAGCCATTCAGCCTTCGGTGAATGGTTTTCTGGCACACGTGCCTCGCGTTGGTACGTAGAAAGTGTTGCCAGAAGTTATACAGGTTTAGTAGCATTCCTGTAACTGCAGGAAGGAATAGAGGGGACGGCCTTTGAAGGCCAAGAGTCTGCAGTGTTAAAAATGACAGCGATGTTTTCCCTTGCCATTTGATACACATGCCGGGCTGCTCTGACTGGGACAGTCTTTCACGTCCAAGTCAAGACCAGCCTGGCGTGACTTCAGGGAAAGCATCTGAAATGGCGATTAAAAGGAAAGCTCCGCGATCAAGCCTTCTGTTCTTACTCCTCTGCTGGACCCGTTCCAGTGCCGACAAGCTACTGTCCCTGAAATGGTGCCGAAAATGTCCTCTTACTGGCTATTCTCACATTACATGAAGCCACTGAAGAGGAACCGGTGAATTCAGGTGACTTTTGAGCCCAAGGACACAGGCGACGCAAGGGAACCCGTAGGGTGGAGGACACCGGCTGAGTAAATGCAGAGTCAAGCAGGGCAAGATGAGTATCTTTCGTGGATGTTTAAGCTGGCACATTTTAACTCGCATTGGCGTTAGTTTGGGAGTGTGACGCCAAAGCTGGCCAACAAGTGGTATGTGGTGGTGTCTCTGAGCTCTTCTAGGAGTCTTCAACACCAGCAATTTTCCCACCATGAAGCCTGTGAGATGTGTGCATGGGAGGGAGGGGGAAGATTACAAGGAGCAACATCCACATTACATACCGGTGAGGAATATTGAGATTAAAAGCCCAAAACAATATTTTCAAACTGCAACACCTACAATGATGTATCTAAATAAAAGTGTGTGCTTCCTGAATAATCATGAAACCTTTCCTTATGCATACAAATATGGACTTTAGGGTAATGTAAATCTACAAACGTTCACAAAAACAGGTGCAAGAAAGCTGCTTAAACGGCCATGTATTCCTACAATAACAGCATTCACGCACACTCGTAAAGCAAAATATTACTTACCCTTGCTTTCAAGTAGATATTTTGCCCTATAATTCTCGTACTGTCAAACATGTCGTTACCAGGACCCATGGCCATGCACATCGTTGCCTGTTAAGAAATTTGTTTAAATGCTCGTGGTGAGTTAATATGGAGAACATGTGGCACTGCAAAGCGGATGAGTTCACAAGTGAGTGTCACACTGTGGGAGCTAATTGCTTCTTGCTAGCCATCTCAGATTTGGGCACTGCGTTACTACGCTAACCTTGGCAGCAAGGTAAATTTAAGTTTGGGCTGAATGACCAGAAAACAGGGTGTACGAGGACAAGACACAGTAAGTTCCTGAAAGAGGTATTCAGAATAGACCAAAAAGAGCTGGGTTTTTTTATGTCCTCTTCACGCACAACGGTCCACCACATGGCTCTGTATCTGCTGCTCCACCCCGAGTTTCCTCCTCGTCAGAAGTTAGTGTAGATCAGGTAAGACGTACTTACCCCCCCCACGGGACAGGAGCTCTGTGGGTTGTTGCACGACTCCCCTGTGTTTATGCAGAACGGGCCTTTGGTGTTGGGCGACACATCTCCCAAGTTGGAGGATGCAAAGGCGGCAACAAAAGAGCCCTGCCAAAAGCAGACGCGGTCAGATGGGTTTTAGTGCCCTGCAGTGATTGCAAACATCACCCGCAGCCTTCCCTGCAGCCAAGGCTGGCGTTACAGCCAGCTGATGAGCGTGCGATGCTGGTAAACATTTCTGAAGCGACTGGGGGGACTGGAATGGGGATTTAGGAGTGTCCCAAGGGTTAGGGACAGGAAGAGCACGGGCGAGTAGGATGCACAGGATGCAACTGCCATTTCAGGGGGGCCTTCACACCGCCTCGGTATCCAGACAGCGTTGCTCCATCTACCTCTTCCATCCCAGTGGCAGCTCTCCCTCCACGCCCCCAGTTTCTGACGTTACTGATCAGAGGTTAATGGATCATTGCAGCACCTTCAACGGGATATTTTTTTTTTTGTCAGGCTTTCACCGTGACTGATTTACCAGGTGAGAGTTATTGGATCTGACTGCAGGAGTTAACATCAATACTCCTTAGAAGCAAGGCTGGTTACACACTGAGTGCCAGCTGAATTCAGCTCCCACACATCATGTCTTTTTTTTTCCCCCTCTTTTAGAGATGGGATGCGTCAGCGCCAGATATTTTGATATATTATCAGCTCTTAAACCATTCTCTTCTAAGATTGCTAGACACAACGTTCCCAGCAGACCATACAGCTAAATATTGACTCTCGCAAACACTTCTTAGCTTTGCGTGCATGTCAACTTGCACTGACTTGCACCCATAACTATGCACTAGAGTCGAGTCTTGTTAAAAGCTTTTAGATAATCCACTATAAAAAGAAACATTTGCAAGCAGGAATTCGGTGGACTTCTTTTATTTTCCATCTTTGGTATAAACTCTACCTGTTCCTCTGCCCAGAGTATTAAAAATAGGAATTGGGCAACTGTTTCAAGGTACATGCTGGAGATAGATACACACAGGACAGCCTCTTAATCAACCCATGACTCAAAGCGTCTGTGAGGTGGGTTCATGTCCATATTTACATTTCGGGTGAAGTCATGCTTTTTAAAGGAGCTGTGTTTGCACCCTGAGGATGGCAAATCTTCCAGATAAATGAAAATCAGAAGGCAGAACTGGCTGGAAGCCATAGGAAAGAAGTAAGTGGGGCTGATCACAGACTTGATGCCACTTCACAGATGCGATACATCCTTTTGGATCAAGTATCCCACGTGTCTTTCTAGTATTTCCAGCAGTTGAATCAAAATAAATTTGGTTTATTCCTAAAGTCTAAATAAGTGCCACTGATTACTAGTTTGGAAAGCCAAGAGTGCACCTTGTAATTTCTCTTCTCTGGAGGAAGAAAGCAAATAAATCAAAGCATTCATCTTTGTCCTCCTTTTTCTGTGTTTACCCTGCTGTCCTATTTCATCATTTGAAAGAACCTGCTTTGGCCCATAGAAAGCACCAACCATCCCCTCCCTCTCTGCAGCACTTTTTCCCCCATTACTTTCAGTAGTCTGAAAACACTCCCACCTCTCCGGGAAGCATCCCCTTGTTCTTCTCCTGTTCGAACAAGTAAGATGCGTAGCCCACGTTGTCACTGTTCACAAGATGGTTTGAGTTGTTCATGCTGACCGGGTGGACAGCAAACCAGCTGAAGAGGAGTCAGAAGACACACAGAGGAAATGTTCAATCTCTACGTTGGCAATTGACTTGTTCAATCTATATATCTGCAATTGACTTATGGGAATTTTCTTTGGGAGAATACAAACGCAGACTGCTGGTACCGAGGGATGGATTAACAAGGGCAGACTTATTCCTGTCCTCTCCCTTCCTGACCAGGAGGCCTCATGGCTACGATGGTCCAGGCCTTGAGGCCACAAGAATTTGGCACCGTAATCATCAGGGCCACCAAGAGCTATTTCAGACCTGAACTGACTCTTTTCTGAGTCCAGAGAATTACGTTTTGGAGGGGTTTTTATTTTCTTGCTTCAGAGAAACAAGGAGTCAACAATATAAAAAAGGAAAAAAAAGAACCCTTTCATTCTTATGAAAAAGACAACCCTCCTCTTCCTCTTAACGCAGTGAGACTCTCACTTGTGACTTCTAAATTAGGAAAACACAATTATGACTTTGTTACTGCACGTTACTTCATTTGCCTGGCCTCGGGCTCCGAACTTGGCGTAGCCAAACGCTGCCCCACAGGTCTGTCGACAAGGCGGGCGTCGTAAATGCCGCCTGGGGAGTGGCACGCTCCCCACGAAACACGGGCCATTAAAGAACATAACGGAGAGAAGCGGGTGCTGGAGATGCTGGGGCCAGGATCTGCTTGGAGGGACACAGTGAGAGCCGCAGAGGGGATTTTTTTCTTCACTCCTACAAGGGAAGACCAGCTATGGTCATCTTCCTCAGATGCCTTTGGGTGGTGCCAGGAGAGGTACCCAGCCATAGGTGGGTCAGGGGCTGCTGACCCTCACAGCAAGGGTCAGTGTTGGGAAGGAGAGCTTGTGCAGAAAGACAGAACTGCTACAGAACTGTGGTTTGTGAGGATTTGGAGAAAAACACGTTACTTCAGTGGCCAGTACCTGATAAGGCCTAGTTCCTGTCCATTCCCATCTACCATCTTCAGCATCACCATTTCTTTATCTGTGTTGGATGAATACCTGGAAAAAAAACCAAAGCAGGGAACTACCCTTAGCGCCAGAGCTCTGCATTGCTAGGACATGTTAAACCTCCACTAGGTTGAGCAAGGAAATGAAGAGGTTATTACAGATAATACCAGAGCACAGTGAGACCTTAGAAGAGCACCTGAAAATAGCTGTGTGAAGGTAAGGGAAGAGTTATGGTTGTTGCTCACCTCAGGCACTGCTTCTTCAGGGGGTGGAGAGAGGAGCTCTCTCCAGACACAAATTTATGCACGAGGGATGGCACTTTAATGCTGTCTGACTCAAATGCTAATGTCTACTAAAGACTTCTTTTTTTCTTTTTTTTTTTTCTTTTTTAAAACATAAGGTCACATCCTTGACCAATACCTCACATGCTTAGAGGAGGCAACCACAACTTTCAAGCCCACTCTTGCAACTAATCTTCGGGGATGCACACACTCAAGCGCCCAGGATGGCAACAGTGTCATTCTGCCATGGTCTTGGGTCCACATTTTCAACCAACCCACAAATGACCAGAAGCGCCAGCTGCAAGATGGCTGTGTCATGGTCCCAACCAAAGGGTCCTCTTTGGGGCACTGTTCCTCTCCCGCTTGAGGAGCTTTTACCTGCTTCGTTCGGACGCTGGATTCTCAAGGTAGGAGAACGGGCTTCGGTTGATCTGGCTGTTTTCTACAGCGCCTCTGTTTATAAAAAGCCTTCCTCTCTTCATGTTCTGATGCGCTATATCAATGCTCTGAAAAGCAGGAAGACAGGGAATATTAGTCCATGCATGTAAGGCATATGTGAACTTATCTGCAAAAACTCTCTCCTCCCCTCGCTGCCTGTCCCTAACTCTTCCTTGGGAATTTGAGGGCTTTTTTTTTTTTAAGTAGTCTAAAATTCTAGAAAATTATGATAAAATTTTGAAACCACACACAACTGTCTCTTTCTAAAGAAAGACTTCAAGGCTTCTTGATTTTTGATCTGATTTCACTGGTAAGCATAAACCCACCTCCAAGTGTGTTTTAAGACTGTGACATTTGGAGGTGCTACCACGAACATCACAGCAAGAGCTCTGTTAGTCACAAAAAGTCTCCCCTCATGGGCTCTCATGGCAACAGACTGGATGACACTGACCTTTACGATGCCATTCACGATAGCGTTGAGGGACGGTCTGATTAGCCCTTTGCTAGTGATCCAGAAGAGGGTGTACTGGAAGTAGCCACCAGGCCCCGAGTGCGTGTGGGTGCCGCTGAGGATGACGTTGTCCTGTCGGTACAGCTCACCGTACTTGCTCTTCAGTTTCTTGAGCACCTAAGAGGAAGGAGGTAGGCCTAAAAAAAACTTTTTTCACACCCAAAGGCCACAGAGATTTGTATCAGCCCTTGCAAAAACCCCAGCCATCCATCTTCCTCCTCGTTCTTCTCTTTTTGCCTGATGCTCCCATACTGGTGTCACAACAAGTAGCTGTTTATAGCTGTTATAGCTGTTTACTTAGCAAGAGCCTTAAAATAATAATATCTGGTAAGCGAAGACCTCTGTGGCCATCTTGCAGTGAAGCCCAGATCATCCAAGGAGTCCCCAGTTCTCCGGCATCTCCCTCCCTTCTCTGTGGGCATTACACAGGCCCCATGATAATGTGATTTGAATGTATTTGTGATAATTTTTCTGCTAGGAAAAGCGCGGTCAAAGTCCAGCCTTATTTGCTGAGGAATCAAAAGCTTTTCTTTAGCAGAGACATGACGTCTGTCCAAGATCACACTGCAAGGAGATCCCAAAGCAAATGGCCAATGTGTTTCACAGAAACACTGAAAACACTGAAACACTAGGTTGGAAAGGACCT